TTTTTTTTTGTTTTGCAAAGTCAGGAACTCGATCTTAGTGCTTAAGCCCCTTGTTATGGTTCGTGTTATTCTTGGCACGCTGACCGGAGTGCGCTCGGCATGAATAGCAGAGAGCTGAAAAGTAAATATTGTATCCTCTGGGAGCAGCAGAGAGGGGAGGGTGGTTATATTGCTTAATGGAGCACCCCCAGCGCCTGTTTGGGTTAGGCTTACAGTAATTGCTCCCTAGGTGAGTTTGTACCAACAATTGATCGTTTCAAATGGGAAAGAAGTACAAATGAGTAAGAGAATAAACACTGACAGTGTTACAAAACGCAGGAGAGGGGAACAAAAATCCCATGCAGCTCAAGCGCGGAGCGGAAAGCAAAGCTGGCCAGAAAATCTGGGATACTGTTTGCTTTATGTGCAATGTCTCATGAATGATGAACACCACAAGAAAAGAAATTGAATTTTCTCCTTAAGCTCAAGCTACAGAGCTACTTTCCACAGCCTTATATTCCACGAAGAGGTCAAGAGCCCGTGCTGGCCAGGCCGGTCCCCTGCTCCCCACAGCCGTGTCCCCACCTGCCACTTGCCCAAGGCAGCCTTTTGCCTGCTGTGTCTCCAGAGGGGCCAAACCCAAAACCAGGCTCTGGAGTCTGCAGCTCCCCTCTGCCAGGCAGGGGACCAGCACTGGCCCAAGGACATGGCGCCAGCCCCTGGGGACCAGGAGCTGTTGGTCAGCCCCAAGGCCACTGCTGCAGGATCACTGCTGCAAACCCCTGGTGCCCAGCAGCAAACTAGTGCTGCTTAATGCTTTCTGAGCATCTTCCACCGTGCTCATGCTAGCGGTTGCTAGTGCGGCAGCAACGGACCCAGGCCAGTGTCCCGGGGACCAGGAAGGGATGCTCAGGTTTGACCTTGTGCACCTGGAGCAGCATCTGCCCGAGGCTGGGCTGCACAGCAGGAGGGTGTTGGAGTGGGAGGAGGGATGGGGATGGAAATTCCCATTTCTTCCAGGAATTACCACCAAAGGAAGGGCATGGGATGGTCCAGCAGCTGCCAGCTGGCTGGGCACCAAGCGCAGGAACCAGCTGTGGGGGTGCCTGCAGAGGTGCTGCCCACCCCAGCCAAGCACAGCAAGCTCTGCTTCTGCCCCAAAGTGCACCCAGCAGCAGCACCCTTCGTAAAGGCTGAGCTGGCAGCCCCACACCACTCAGCCCCCGGCTGCCGCAGCGGCTTCTGCAGCTGAGCTCATTAGTGCCTGCAATCAGCAGGGCATGAAGGGGAGATAATTACACAGGCAGCACGGCCCTGGCTGCGTGCAGGGTCTATATATAGCACCATGCGGGTCCGCGCCGCCTGCGGTGCTCAGTCCCTGCCCCAGGGACCGTGTGGGTCTGGGTCGGGGGGTGCAGGCACAACTGCGTGGGGAGCTGCGCCACGGGGCCGTCTGCGGTGCCTGGGGAAAACCACCCCGAGCTGAATTAAATGTTTCACTTAACTACGTTTTTCCCAGCTGAAAAATTGCAGGGAGTTTCCCAGTGGACTGCCATCTTGCACAGAAAAAATGGAAACAAGTTTTTTCTGCAAAATACCTAAGGAAATTCAGCCTGGGGCCAGGGCGGCTGCATGAAGGCATGTTCCCCCTTGCAGCCCCCAGGATCCCACAGAGAGGGAAAGGTGCTCCCAACCCCACGGCGAGCATCCCCTGGGTGCGGGCAGAGGGTGCCCAGGGCCTGGCCCAGCTCCGGGGGTGGCTGTGGGGCAGAGGGGTGCTCGGCCCCATGCAGCCCTGGCTCCCATGGCTGGCAGCCTTAGTGTTACCCTGTGGCAGAGCCATCCCAAACCGATCACGGTGCTTTTGGGCCAGCCCTATCACCCAGAACCACCCCAGGCTGCTCAGCCCCATGGAAAAGCTGCATTTGCTCGTTGCCCCGCTGCTCCCCAGGGCTGGTGACACGAGCTGCCTGGCCTGTATTTCCAGCACGGCCATTTCTAAACTGATGGCAAAGTCCTGCCCTGGCACGTGAGGCCCCGTGTGTCACCAGTGCCACCAGAATCCCCCAGCCAGTGAGTGCTCCCGGGGGAGCCACTTGGGGAAATGGCAGGGGCCTTGGGACATGCCTGGGTGGTGACAAAGCACTGATGCCACCCACGGGACTGTGACACTGCACCAGGAAGCCCTGCCCTCTCTCTGTTTCGCCCAGCAAGCCCGGGAAAGCAGCACGGCACTGCCAGGGCAGGGCTGAGGCGGGTGGCTCCGGGGGCTGCTCCCGGCCACGCAATGTGGGGACGTCCCCATCCAGCTCACACCTGAATCAGAGCAGGCACCGACTGAGCAAAGTTCCCCCCCGGAGTCCCCGGGCGGGTGCGTGCTCTCCGGGCATGGCAGCAGCTCTGGCTGGCTGTGCTGCTGCAAACCCTCCTCACCCTTCAGGGCGCATCATCACGGTGCATCGCCTGCCCCGAATCCTGCTTCGCTGCAGCCTCTGGCACCCTGGCTGCTTGCCTTGCCAAGTACTGCGAGGCCTGATCACCTTTGGTTTTTGGTGAAAATGTGACTCTAATATAGCAGGCTATTGCTTCTTTCACTAGCCCTTAATCATCTCTTCGCAGTTCCTTCCCCGGGGATGAGAAAATACTTCAAGCACAGCTCCTGTGCTATTTGGAAATGGATCAGTTCAGCAAATCAAAGGGGATGGGGATAGGGCTGCAGCCCACATCTCAGCCTGCCATTCCCCTTACATCAGTCAGAGGGAGGAGAGCCTCTCCTTCAGTAAAGACAAACATTCATTCTCGGGCACAGAGGAAGGAGCCCAGGAAACTCCTGCCACACACTGCACGGGCTGTTATTAGGTTAAGCCATAATTAAGTCCCCATCCCTCTCCCTTGCACATGCACATCACACAGATGCACATACAGACATGCACACTCATGGGCACACGCCAGCGTGGTGTAAAAAAGCAGGGCTGAAAGTGGGTTAATGCACGTGTGCACCTCCTCTGACAGAGACCTGCGGTGGCCGGGCCAGCCAAGACAGGATTTATTTAGGGAGCAGAGTGCTCATGCCTGAAGCCTGCTCGTTCACAGCACAGGCAGCTCCCGGCTCCTTCCAAACCAACCCTGGCTATGGTGATGATGATCTTTTTTTTTAAAATCCAGTTTGTGCACCAGCCTGTTTATTTGCCTCACTCGCTTGGGATGGACAAGGGATAATCACAGTGATAAGCCACATGGGGCACCACGTTCAGCTGCCCAACAGATACACATCAACTGCTTTTTAATCACGATAAGGAGAACATGAAACCTCCTATCACACAGGACTTCAGTTGTGCCACAGAAAAACAGCCGAGCGTGTTTTATATCCGCAGCTTTATTCTCGTACAAAAGGTTAAAGGCAAAGCTAGAAAAAACGAACCTATTGCTACACGCTCACTGAACACTTTTAAGACAAGATAGGGCAGTAAAGCTTTTATTGCTAAGAAGAACCACTGAGAGGCTTTAAAGCTCATCTAGCATTCAGTTTTTGTTTGTAAGTAACCCAATTTAAAGCAGCTTTTCAGTCTTTAAAAAACGCTCTCGCCTTTCTGGAATGCTTCAAAAGGAAGATGACCTGAGGACGGTGTCTGCTCTCCAGAGGGACCAGACAGATGCTCTGTGCGAGGCGCAGTAACAGGCCACTGATGAATGCCAAAATGGAACCCAACCACCCGGCTGCGGCCTCCTGCTGATCATTAGACAAGGCAAGGCCGCACAGCACCCGCGGAGCCAGCACCCTGCCATGTGCAAAAGCAGCAGTCGGCTGTCCCCGTGCCCTGGTGGCTGTGGCACAGACGGGCACTGGGGACTCGCCCCAGGCAGAGCCAGGTGAGAGCCAGGGGCCAAGCCCGGGCATAGTGACTGTCAATGTCCTGCTCCAACTACTGGACTGCGCTTTCTCCTGGAAGGAGAGGCTACAGCCAGTGGGATACTGAATGCTCTTGGGATCCCTAGGGATC